CTTAAAATTCTGGTTCTGATGTCGGCGTCTTCTGAAGACTGTAAGCTGCATACGAAAACAAGACATTTGAATTGGTCTTCTGTCATTGCTGATAGTTTAAAGCGCTCACATTCACGAGTTACTATGCTAGCATGTTGCACCCAATCATCGTTGCCAGCTTTTACTATCTTCAAACACTGATACCGAATATTGAACAAGGAAGACTGTTCACCGAAAATTTGCGACAAAAATTTAACTGTTTCTTCGAACGAAATGTCTCTTGGGTTCTTGGGCAGAATGTAATTAGTGTATCGTTCATGCTCAACGGTCCCCAGCTTTCGTAGTAGCACCCTGATCTTGGCAGCATCATCAAACGTTTCTTGGTCAACATTAAATACATCTTCATATTTCTTGTACCAAGATTCGAATGTTACACCAGCCAAACCATCAAAATGAAATTCATGAATGGGATCAATGACATAATCAGCATGCGATTTAGCAGAAGCATCTGTAAATCCATTCTTGTTCAGGTTCATTTGCTGGGTCAGTGTTTCAAGTATGCGAATCTGGAACTGCTCGAAACGTTTTTCATGGCGCTCAAGAAAAGCTTCAAATTGGTCAAAGGTGATAGACATCTTGATAAATTAACCCGTCGCCACTGATATGTCTTGTAAGTTGAACGCTTTATTCAGATCCTAAGCTATTCAGATATCCCCAGGGCTAGCACTACTCAGCAACTTGAAGACTAGAGAGAAGACATGAGTAACAGAGAAAACCTTTACTGCAAGGATCATCTTTGTACAGAAAATCGTAGGCATTTATAGATGTTTGCTTAAGTTAAATCAACATCCTAATTCAGCCAATCCAATTAACGACATATATTGCTACTGACCAATGGTAGCGTGCCACGTTAGAACTCCAGAATGTTCTGTCGTACTCTGATTGGTTGGGACTCTTTTTGAGCTTCTGGAGGCTCTGTTGGAGTTCGCTGGAAGCCGACTTAACAGTAATGAGAGAAGTTTTTGTGAAGATCTGTCTGACCAGAATAACCAGTCCAATATTCAAAACTCTTCTCTTCATGTTCAAATATTTCCATAGAAATGACTTACGTGTTGTTAAGGTGAAAGCTGTGATCATTCAGAATACACGAGTACTGTTATTAAACAGTCACAGTTTATTGATTATTGTCTCCCACATTCACAGCAACATTTGTCTTGATCCTGTACAAATATTATTTCCTATTTTATGGTGTGATTCAGTCTGTCTATTTGGTATATATACAGAGTATGCTTGAAATAAATGATTCACCTAGATTCGCACAGCAGAAGATGCCATCGGTGTTCTGGACTCAATCGGAAGGCCTAGGCCGACAAAGGACCACTGAGTACTCTAGACTGTTCATACTAGTTGAACTTTATTGATTTGTCACAGTGTTAAGATCGTAAAAGTCATATTTCAATTGGTGGGAAATTCACGTGATAAAGGCAGGATATAAAAATCTCTAGCGAATTAGCATACATCCTATATTATTTTTCATAAAGTCATAACCGTAGTATAATACGCAGTGAAGATGGAAGGATTTCTGACGAATTAGTCGTTATTTCATAATTACAAATTATTTGGATACAATTCAATGTTGGACATGTAATCTACATTAGTTGCTGTACATTTGCAAAATGATGTTTCCAATTCTGGTATGAGTTAGCAATAGAATGTACATGGACATTTCGACAGGGTTTTCATCATAAACGAGTAATGAATATTTTTGTGATTGTCTTCCTTTGTCTTACCAAACTTATGCTGGATATTGTACTTCTTAAGTAGCTTGATTCATTATACCAGTAATAGTAATCATACAATGATACTGTGATCTAAAATAGTCAGTTAAGTGTTTTAATCTTTTGTTTTCAGTTCAATATTGTGTTGTGTATATTGATGCATGCACACAAAATTCATATAATAGTGAACCTATTTTAAAATATCTGACTATGTGAACGTCAAACGAATGATTTCGATTCTGTTAGTTAACTTGTGTTCAGTTGTATAAGTTAAGAAAATCCCTTATATTTGCATTCCGAAATTCACAAATTGATTGGACGTCAACAGTTATCGAGGATAGCTTGAATCTAATTTTGTATTCTGATCAGTCGATGCTGACTTGTCTAGGTGGTAAGTGTTTACATGTGAATACGTATGCATTCAATAGTGATTTTCACTGGTGAAACGCGGAAGCACACAGATCACAAGTGCAATTCTGGGAAAAGATATCAATACAGTGTTGTGTCAATATTCAACATTTGATGTCTCATTGAAATCCACCAATATACCACTCTTCATACACTATTTAAAATATCATATATATCAATGACAATATTTTGAGTTACTTAAAAAACTAACCAACTGAATGCGTCTCACCGGATTCGATAAATAGAATGAACATATAATGTTCATATACCTTTGATAATGAACGAAATCAGTTGTCGCTGAACATGCATATAAGTAGTATATTGAATGAATGCTGTCAGTAACCATATCGGTCGTACACTCGAGTTTCATTCAAATTTCTGCAATGTCTTCGCATGCAATTTTGCTTGTTAAATGAATGGTAGTATGGATTTTTGAATGAATTGTACATTTGCAAATTGATATTTTGCATTCAGGTAGACATTAAGCATGGCGTTCAGTGATTTAGTCAATTAATCATTGGTGGCCTAGCATCGATTGGTTCATACGATTAAATATTTTTGTGACTGTCAAAAATTTGGCAGTGTATAGTGAAGATAATGACTTGTGTTTGCAGTAGATTAGTTTTAGGTTTCGCTTTAGTCAACTAGAAGAGATTCACAGTTTGTCTCTCTATCCACTTGGCTTGTGTTTCACACCTGAAGTAGAACAGAGCGAACTGCTGTGCAATATACTCGTCCCTTGATAGATAAACGTATATCTTGCATTCACCATAGGTGGCGTAGGTTGACAAAAACCAAACGAGCATTTTGAATCCGTGCAAAGGTTTCGTTGTTATAAGCCATGTTTACCATTGATTAATTGCAGCCTGATGTTGAGATGCGTTACACGTGTGATAGATTACTGCGTAAGCCCAACCGCTTTGTTGTCACAATTTATTTTATGAACATACACTTCCACTTACTGCGTCAGCGTCCATATATTCGCAACTCTACATATAGCGCAACAGAATAAGGAAACTTACCATCTACCTCAAATCCACTCACCATTATACAAATTTCAAATTAAATGTATCATTTGATGTTCATTCATATCTACGAACATCAGTTGTATCAATCATTCATTTCCTTTACACAGATTCTGTCTAATCTTCAATGACCAAATCATAATGGACTATACTCATCATACTACTTATTACGACCCAACCAGTAGAAATTATTCATTCACATTTCTATCAAATTTCCTACAAATCACACTCAACCACTCACACAAACATACATAATTGTGTACATATCTGCAAACATACCTAAATATATACAACCATGCAATTGTATTATTCACTCCCATCGCTTTCCATTCAGTGTGCAACATCACTGAGTATAGTGTTGCATACTAACAAATCAAGATACATGTCATTGCACCAGAATTGTCTAATACAACTGATTTGTGAATATAACAATCAATCGCTTGTCCACTCTATACAGTGAAATTGAATTGTTGAAATATCAGTTATATGTTTTGATCGGTACTAATCTGGAATAATTATGACCGTTTACCTCATGAGTTAAAACTAGTACAGTCCAGACTGCTTCAGATCACTGTACAAAAGTGTCATTGTGAATTATTCCATAAAGGATGTCACTCTGGATATTTGTTCTATTTCGAAAGTTGTCTTACTGTGAATGAATTTTACAGGACGAAATAAAGTTTACTGTAATTGATGACACAAGTGTATTTATTTATATTATGATATGGTAGTAGTAGTTTTGATACATTTTGTGTTTCTTTATCCCAGATACCAGTTTACCTACTGTCGTGTAGTCCTCACATAATCATAAAATGTGTTAGTGGTGTTTCTAGTCAGTGAATTCATAATGTGAGATTACCATCCATCTATTGGATTATATGAGCTACATTTAAATTAGAGTGCTAGATCATACATGTTAAAGACAAGTCAAGTGAATAGAGAGACAAACTCTGATCCTCTTCAAGTTCACTAGAGGGAAACGTTAAACGTGAAACTATTCTACTGCAAACACAAGACATTATCTTCACTATACACTGCCAATTAATTGGCAGTCACAAAAATATTTCAATGGTTGTCTAACTAAGATCAAGTTGTCAACTGTTGTAATACAAAACACAATGCAAACCGTCTACCTGAATGAAAAATATCAATTTGCAAATGTACACTTAATTCAAAAATCCATAACACCATTCATATAACAAGGGAAATTGCATGCCAAAACATTGCAGCAATTTGAATTAAATTTGATTGTACGACCAATATGGATACTGACGGCATTCATTCAGTATACTACTTATATGCGTGTTCAGCGACAACTGATTTCATTCAATATCAAAGATATATGAACATGGTATCTTTATTCTATTTATCGAATTCAGTGAAACACATTCAGTTTGTGCGTGTTCGCAGAAACTCAAAATATTGTCATTGATATGTACATGATATTGTAAATTGTGTACGAAGAGTTGAACATTGGTGGAGGCTGAAATCAGTAATAGAGAAATGCCCAAGAAAGGACCTCACCATCCTGACGGGAGATCTGAATGCTAAAGTCGGAGTGGACAACACTGGTTATGAAAATATAATGGGACGACATCGACTAAGAGAGAGAAATGAAAATTGTGGGTGATTTGCAAATCTATGTGCATTCAACAATTTTGTTATAGGCGATACAATTTTCCTTCAGAAACGCCTACACAAATCTACAAGGATGTCGTCGGACCACACCACAGACAACCAGATAGATCATATTTGTATCAACAAAAAATTCAGAAGGTCAGTGAGTGAGATCAAAAATACGATGAAGAGATTAATTGTTTACAGAGGAGATATTAATGATTCGTGAATATGAATGGAGATACATGATCATGTAGTCGGGACTGAATGATGATGATGATGATGATGATGATGATGATGATGATGATGATGATGATGATGATGATGATGATGATGATGATGATGATGATGATGATGATGATGATGATGATGATGATGATGATGATGATGATGATGATGATGATGATGATGATGATGATGATGATGATGATGATGATGATGATGATGATGATGATGATGATGATGATGATGATGATGATGATGATGATGATGATGATGATGATGATGATGATGATGATGATGATGATGATGATGATGATGATGATGATGATGATGATGATGATGATGATGATGATGATGATGATGATGATGATGATGATGATGATGATGATGATGATGATGATGATGATGATGATGATGATGATGATGATGATGATGATGATGATGATGATGATGATGATGATGATGATGATGATGATGATGATGATGATGATGATGATGATGATGATGATGATGATGATAAATGAGCTGACAGATTACGATTACGAGGTTTGTAAGTGTGTACAAAATTATTTAGGATTTACTAATAAGGAAACAGAAGATATTTGCCGATGAATAAACATTAATATATGTGGTGTGGTGTATGGACAGCATGATTGATTCAGTATCCATATTCAATAACAATGTGTAGAACTGAACATGATTGTTGTCTGTCCAATGAGATTGTAAATACATTGAACGATATTTTCGTGTTTGATTTGAGAGATTTGTGAATTGATAGTCCATTTGGTATTTCTATATGTATTGAATCGACTTGTTGTCATGTTTATGGATATCAAAGAATAAGACAGAGAATCGAGGACAGGTTCTATCTGACATTCAATACAGATCACAATTTGCAGCTGAATACAATGATTGTCACGCGTTATGTATACACTTATCAATAGTCAGATTTCAAACGGACTGAGTTGAGTGTCACTTGATACTAAGTAAACAATAGGAAAGGGTATCATCGAACTTTTCTATATTGTACACATGAACTGAATTGATAAACTAACTAATTTGCCGAGTGTTGTACGATCAAGTATTTCTTACGACCATACTCTTCAATTTTGTGTTCAGCATTCTATCGAATATCGGAATTGTTGATGGGAAGAGAGAATTCAGATATAATTAGCATGATGTGTGTGTGTACAATTTTTATCTTTGGCATAAACCCCACTCTTCATTGTTCTTGTTCCCCACTTCGTATCATTATCAATCTAAACAACAGTGAAGCTATTTAATATTTATGAGTGACTCGACATGATCGATAAGATTCGATCTGTACTGAGAAGGACCTGACATACATGACATTGATCACCACCCAATGGTCAGCCAATTCTAAATGGAAATGAGTTGCATGTCATTCTAATGAGTATCCGGTTGTATATTATTGGAATTCATGAAGTTTTGAACAAGCGTCTGATATTTTACTTATTCAAATGTTACTGGAAAAGATATCGAACATATGGCACATTATCAATCAGCTGACACACCTGAAATAAAACATATTGCGTATGAGTATCGTGCGTTCATCTGATAAGAGTACTGAGTATGAAAGATAATTGACTAGTGTAAAAATGGAAAGGAATATTTTGTTATGGATGTGTTGCTTGTATCAAGAAAGAGAAAACGAGTCAACTGGAACACTACTCGATCTCCTTTTCAGTCACATTTGAATCAGCAAACCATCAAATACCAATTAGGAAACTCCAGAAATCCCAATATTATCCTACTGGACATTCAATAGAATCACATACAACTCATCACTATTGACAAACGTGATAGAGAAAATAGTGCAGTAGTCACATGTACCTGACAGATGAGCAATCCTAGTACTTGTATGTAGAAAAAATCTCAGTAAATTCTGCATCATGCTAGATTTATGATGCAATAAATGTGGTATATAATACTCGTCGCTCAATTCTATCTCAGTAGTATAATGTGTGTATTGATTTTCAAACAAATAATGATGTCCAATGCAACAGATTCAAACTGTGGTTAATTTTTTGAAAACATGTTGGTTGTGAGTTAAAAGAGCCTCAGCCAATCTGATAAATACAGTAATTTTGCAAAATAAACATTTAAGTTATGCTATTTGAAATTATTGTGCATGAGTTTGATTATCCGTTTATTCATACATCGGTTCAAGTTGTCATACTTCATATTAGCAATTTTTGTGGCTGCCTATTAGTTGGCGGCATATCAGTAAAACATAGATGATGGTTTGATGTATACGTGGTGTCTGTGGTAAGGATTACTACGAAGCTGGATAACAATTCAGATTGGGAAGTGCGAAATGACTTGTGGAATAAATATACTAACTACCTGAGAGCATATTGCCATTTTATTGATATGCATTGTGTGCAGGCTAATCCAACTAATTCTCATGCTCATCCTGATTATCCATCTCAACAAATAGTGCCTAACAATCGTTCCTCTCCACATCGGCTTCATTAAATCATGAAAGTTGATTGGAGAGTAGTAAACTCAAATGCATCTAGTTTCTCGATCGGTTGGTTGCATGTGGAGATGTGATGTTTCAGAGTGAATGACTGACTGGTTGGCATTGTTGAATTTATTGAGGTTGTGTCTCCAACATTCTATTCATTGCAAAGTGATCACCTCATCAACCAAACGTGTATCCACTTCCCCTTTGCATTCAGCTTACACATGTCATGACTTTTGTGACCCCATATCTTCCATTTAGGTTCTTATTACAACTTCCAAATCGAATATCTCCTCTTCTTCGTTTCCAGGAAAACACAAGGACTTCTAAAATAGTATAAAAACTATATTTTCTGTACATAAATGAACATTTGGAGTAAAGTGCTTCTCTCATATTTTGCGTCTTTCCTCTCGTTTTACAAGTCTCTGTAAAGATTTAGTTTGGAGTTTACAAAACTGGATTAGGATTCGAGCATAACTTTCAACTAGCAAGACTTATCAGTTTCACAAAACACTATTTACAAGCAATGTTGTGAGGGGTGTCCACTACAATAGTTTATAGATTCGACAAATCAGTGAGATTAATGAAAATGAGGAAAATTAACATTTCATTGCTCTGTAATTACACATAAAAAATACACTAATATTGTCTTATACATGGGGTTAGCGACCCCATCCCGGAGTTAAATAACTCACTTTAAAAACGCTAACCAGAAAAGATAATTCAAACCATTTAAACTCCAACCTGGGAGTTGAAAAAAGTATTATGACGCCTCATGATGAAAGCCGAGATTCCTCAGGATTCACCAGGCCGATGCCTCGTGTACATATTTATATGTATGTGTTAGTATATGTTGTGCATCAGTGAATATACAACAAGATTGAAAGTCTTCACTTCACAGATATTCTTTCTCCAGACATTGAGTATGTTGAGAATAATCAAACTCGTAATACTTCACACCACCAATCCATAGGATATAAGTATATATAAGTAGTATACTGAATGAATGCTGTCGGTATCCATATTGGTCGTACACTCGAATTTAAGTCAAATTGCTGCAATGTTTTCGCATGCAATTTTGATGCAATTCCACTGATAAATAGGTCAGACATACAAATATATAAGTAGTATGTTGAGTGTGTATTATGATTATTGGAATATCGATAAGCAGAAATAAACTGCAGAAATGAACACAATTATTAGCTCTCAATTTTCATTCTGATATCGACTGACAATGAATGAGTGTTCAATATGAGAGATTTGCAAAATGATAATCCAGTTCTATGTGTCAGAAATCTTCAGTGTTCATGATGACGAAAACTATGATTCCGATTTAAGATTTAAACAATAAGCAATTTTTGATCGTCACCAGAACGTATGGTGACGTAATTCGCCAAACAGAAGTACTAGTTTTACCTCAGATGTATTGAGTATGAGCCACCTGTTAGTCCAGTGTGATAATCTGATGCTTTGTGATTCGTTTTTAGATGCATTCACACTGACCAAATGGATGTTGATATTTATTGAAATCATCCATCCATACTGATTAATGGCCAGTTACTCAAGAAGTGCAATTATTACACTTCCGATTACAGCAGATAATCAATTCATTTCGGCCGCTGATACATCACTTAACAAATACATATTTCCACAATGGTTGATGCTATATAAGATGTTGTTATGTTACAACAGTGTTCATAGATCTGACTGAGAATGCCGTATTGATATTGATTGATTGTGATATTATTCAGAGAACTGTACAGAAAATATGAGTATCAGTAAGAACTAGATTGGGAAAGCAACAGAGTGAAGTGTATATCAAAATGAATTTTCGTAATTTCAAATCTGTAGGTTTTTTATCAAAATGTAAAATTGTTGAACTCATAGATTGACTGGAAATAAGTTAAGATGTGAGGAAAATTGAATATACATCGACAACTTTACAGGTGGACATTGAAAATCCATTCGGTCAGTGAATGTAACTTCGTGAGTACATGTTGTTATATCCCGTGGAGAATTATGGATGGTAACTCTGAGGACTATTTACGGACCAATGTGATATGTATATTTCCTATTGTATAATTGCTAAGTAACTTAACTATTCATATTCATGTTCCTCTTATTATAAGCTTTATTTTGACTTATGAACTATTATTATACGACTTACTGTTATAAACGCAAGTATGCCGTCGCCAATTGTTATAAACGTAGAGAGAGAGAGAGAGAGGATGCTGGTTATAACTTTAGGGGTTCTTGTTATAACAGTCCTTTTACTTCTTACACGTATGTGGGACGTTAATTTATCTTAGACGAATATCTACACTAGATTCCCACCCAGTGTCTATTCTACAGGACTTCAACAGAACTCAGATCAAGAACACGAGATTAGCCTGACTATAACGTCAATATATTTCACACCAAAATCCGACACAAAGAACAGTCAATCAATAAGTATCCAACATCAAGGAACAGTCAATAAGTCCATACATAATAAGGATAGGGAAATATATATATAACACATAACACCTGTAACTTACCAATTTTGAGTCATTCCTAGTCTATAAATTACAGTTCCCCACATTCACAGCCACATTTGGCCAAATCTTGTACACATGTTATTTTCTATTTTATGGTATGATGTGGTCAGTTTGTTTGGTATATAAACCCAGTATGTTTGTGAATAATGGTTCATATTGCAGAGTCTGTTATTGATGTTCTGGACTTAACTTGCTGGGCTAGGCAGAAACCAGGACTGACAAGTACTCAAGAATGTTCACAAGGCTTTTGTGTATCATTGGGCGATCGATAAATACGCTGCTCTCTAATTGGCGGTCTTATAACGTTCATATATATCAACTGGACATGTACGCACTCAATCGATATAACAACTGGGCACGCTCGCGATATAACGCATGTGAACAAATTCAATGTTTGTACTTGTCAACCAGATTTATAACTGAAGTAAATCACACCGATTGATTGTTGGAATGATAAATTGAACACGATAGAGGAGAAAAATATGAAAGGAAGGCTTTACAATGTATCCGTCGACAAAGTCTCCACGAGTCAATCATTCACCAACTAACAGATTATCTGGCCGACGCACTGATAATTGATTGATTAACTGAGTGATTGATTGGTCTATTAATAAACATGCACTAGCATTTTCAAATAGTACCCATATTCAATCGACACAGCAACATCAAAATCGTCATAATGATGGTTAACAGGATGCGTATTTGACTTCCTATATAAACAGACTGATCGGACGTTAATATTTGACGAGGATAGATTG